AACCCGTCCAGAGGACCTATACAATTTTTTTCCTTTTGATTTTTTACCTGGATTACTGAGATGCATCAGGACGTTAGTGTGAAAGTTGAAGAAAGTAAAAGCTGTAACACCTTTAAGCAGCCGTTAACTGATCTGATGGGTTTCATGTGACTGAAGCTTTAGTTTGTCTCAGAGAAACCCCGATGGTAGTAATACTGTATGGTTTGGGATCAGGAATAATCTAGATGTATGTTAGTTAGAAGTGTGTCCAGCAGCAGAGTTTAAAGTCTGGGCAGGCTCTGAGTTAATCTGAAATGCAGGCAGCGCTTTCTGACATTTATCCTTTTTTTTTCACACAGAGTTTGTGTCCAGCATGACTTATGATGGAGAATAAAAATGTGCCTGCACAGAAATAGTTCTTTTTTTTCCCTGGCAAACAGACTCATATGTTCAGACAGAAAGTAACAAATCTGGCCCGAATTCCTTGAGATTATTCAGAAGACAGATTGGTGCTCAGGAAGGGACGTTTGGGGTGAAACAGACCATTTTTAGAAGTTGATACCATGAGAATAAGTTTAGGACGTTTGCTATAAATGGGTCCTGCTGCTGAAGAAGAATGATAAGAATGCGAGTGTTTCCTGTCCTGCAACATGACGAGCAGCAGCACGAGTCTGAGAACATGTGGGAGTGTGTGTTTGTTCTGTGTCTACACATGTGTGTGTATGGGAGTACAGTCTGAACTCCTGATTAGCACATCAGACTTGGCGTTGATCCGATACCAGAGCTAGGATCACCAGTTCTGATTTCAATACCGGTACTTGAATAATTTTGTGATTTTTGCCTTTAGTTAGGCTAAAACTAGGGATGTCCTGATCCAGTGTTTCCCCTACCATTATACAGCCCCCCCCCCCCCNGCTCTGACTTCCGTTCAGAAGAGCTGTTTATGTTAATGAGCTCTGTTGGTAACGCCCTCTAAAAATCTGTTGACATTAACTCCGCCCTCCAAAGCCAGCGTTTACGTTAGCATGGCTAATAATAGCAGAAGCTCAGTTGTACAACCATATGAGACCCAGAGGCAGAGTTGGTCACAGCTTCTTTCTTTTTTTTTCTCTCCCTCCTCTGCTCTAATCACTCTGCATGCTGTTACCAGAGCAGGGAGCAGCAGTGGTGAAAATACCTCAGAAACTCGAACAAATAGGCTTTAACATGGCTTTAATGAGCTAAACAATAGAGTTACATGAGAAAATGTGTTCATAATGAACGAAAATAAATAAATAATTAATTTGTGTCCATGCTGGTCTCAAACCCTGGTCTCCCACTCTCTGGTCCAACACTGTACCCATTGCCCCATTGGAGACTTGTTGTGAAATGAGCTGCACATTGCACAACAATAACCATGACGGCTTTTTATACTGAGGAGGTGGAGTCTCACCCGGGGGTTGCTAGGTGAGGGGCTGAACGCAGGTTCCGGTGGGTTGTCGTATGGCTTGTGACATCACAAAATGACTGAAGTATAAAACTTATCGTTAATATGCATTAAAAATACATTTACTTACAGTAAATATGCCCTGGGTGCATTTTTTTGGTCCTAGGACTGTTTTTTTTTAAGAAGTACATACCCAAAGTTGAGTAAAAAAACCTTTAAAAAGTGAATTTTGCATAATAGGTCCCCTTTTTATTTCTGGGAGTCTCATGCAACAGTGTAATCTGGATCTTGTCCCTTTAGAGACACATTTTTGAGAAACCCAAGTTGCTTCAGCTGAAAAATGTACAGCTGCATATTTTAGTTCTTAAAGGGGTGCCCAAAAGAACAGGAAAGCAGGCATCATGTAAATGTCTGATTGAGATGTCCTGATGCATCTCAGTAATCCAGGTAAAAAATCAAAAAGAAAAAATTGTATAGGTCTTCTGGACGGGTTCTTCTCCAATGAAACGTTTCATCTCTCCTCCAAGAGACTTCTTCAGTCTGAGAGTTTCAGGCAAAATTCAGGCTTTTAAGCCCTGCCTCCATGAGACTGATACTCACATCACATGGCTATCGTTGACACCTAATTAACACTTATTGTTAACAGGGGTGAAGTGATACTGGCAATAGCTGCGCTGTAGGAGGTTTGAGAGAGGAGTAAAAGAAGCCATTTTTGTGAAGAAAGACTGTCCATCATTAAACAGAGGTGGAGGCCTCCATTTTCAGTTGTCCCCCTCCTACAGCGCGGCTATTGCCAGTATCACTCCACCCCTGTTAACAATAAGTGTTAATTAGGTGTCAACTATAGCCATGTGATGTGAGTATCAGTCTCATGGAGGCAGGGCTTAAAAGCCTGAATTTTGCCTGAAACTCTCAGACTGAAGAAG